CACACTAACTGAGTTGTTATGAAGTCACCCCAACTGGGTTGTTATGAAGTAACCCTAAACAGGGTTGTTATGAAGTCATCCTAACTGGGTTGTTATTAAGTCACCCTAACTGAGTTGTTATGATGTCACCATAATTGGGTTTTATTAATTGACCCTAACTGGGTTGTTATAAAGTCACACTAACTGGGTTGTTATTAAGTCATCCTAACTGGGTTGTTATGATGTCACCCTAACTGGGTTTTATTAATTCACCCTAACTGGGTTGTTATTAAGTCACCCTAACTGGGTTGTTATTAAGTCACACTAACTGAGTTGTTATGAAGTCACCCCAACTGGGTTGTTATGAAGTAACCCTAACAGGGTTGTTATGAAGTCATCCTAACTGGGTTGTTATTAAGTCACCCTAACTGAGTTGTTATGATGTCACCATAATTGGGTTTTATTAATTCACCCTAACTGGGTTGTTATAAAGTCACACTAACTGGGTTGTTATTAAGTCATCCTAACTGGGTTGTTATGATGTCACCCTAACTGGGTTTTATTAATTCACCCTAACTGGGTTGTTATTAAGTCACCCTAACTGGGTTGTTTTTAAGTCCCACTAACTGGGTTGTTATTAAGTCACCCTAACTGGGTTGTTATTAAGTCACCCTAACTATGTTTTTATGAAGGCACCCCAACTGGGTTGTTATGGTCACCCCAACTGGGTTGTTATGGTCACCCTAACTGGGTTGTTAAGAAGTCACTCAGAGGTTACTCAAATACAACGCGCCAGCCCCATGCTGAACAACGGCGGAATGTTCGCTGCCCTTGCAGCTGCGATCGTTTTGAACTGAACTATTGTGACGCTCAGTTCGCCTGTCCCTTGTTATGAATACAAAGAGTGAGCCATCCGCCGGGAGTATACTAATGAAATTCAAGGGATTACAGTGTCAGTCGAGATCCCCTGTGTCATGGTGTCTGTGTGCCTGTGTGGGTAGGGGGTGGAATGGGCTGGGGGGGGGGGGCTAGAAGTGCGCCGCTCCTCTTTCTTCTTTTCTTCTTTTTTCCCCATTGCAGCAGAGCACAAATATTGATTCGCATTTTTGGGATGCCCTTTATATTAGGCCAGTCCGCTCTTTCCGTTATGCCAATCTGCTCTTTCCCTTATGCAAGTTTGCTCTTTGCGTTATGCCAGTCTGCGCTTTCCGTTATGACGATCTGCTCTTTCCGGTATGCCAGTCTGCTCTTTCCCTTATGCCACTCTTCTCTGTCCGTCATGCCACTCTTCTCTTTCCCTTATATCACTCTTCTCTTTCCGTTATGCAGTCTGCTCTTTTCGTCACTCCAGTCTACTCTTTCCGTCACTCCAGTCTGCTCTTTACATCACTCCAGTCTGCTCTTTCCATCACTCCAGTCTGCTCTTTCCGTTTTGCCAGTCTTCTCTTTCCGTTATGCAGTCTGCTCTTTACATCACTCCAGTCTGCTCTTTCCGTCACTCCAGTCTGCTCTTTCCGTCAGTCCAGTCTACTCTTCCCGTCACTCCAGTCTACTCTTTCCGTCACTCCAGTCTTCTGTTTCTGTCTATCTATCACGAACTTTCTACATCCGATTGTCCTTTGTTCCGTCAGGGTATTATGATTAACTTCATACCGCTAAACTAGTAGACACTGACTACCCACCGAGTCGCCACAGAGTAGCCACTGAGTAGCCATTAGTAGCCGCTGAATAGTCAATGAGTGGCCACCGAGTAGCCACCGAGTAGCCACCGAGTAGCCATAGAGTAGCCACTGAGCAGTCACTGAATAGTCACTGAGAAGCATATACCCTTTCTTCTGTTCTTGCTACACCGACCTTTAAATGAGCCAACAAGAGTTTGTCATTCATCCTCCATCATAAACTGCTGTCATCCACCTATCCTACCGACTCATATTTGCTTTACAAATCCATTCATCCATATACAAAATCAATACTTCAACTCATTCGTTTATCTGTCCACCAGATCGTTGATCGATGTGTCGATCTTATCAGCTATGCTTTATTTAATCCAAATGTCCCCAAACACTAAACTAACTAACACACATATTCGGGTGAGGGTCTGAGATTATTCTCTCTTGACCCCGGCTAGTAAATTGGCTACCAGCTCCATCTGCTGAGCTGAGCCATACAACATTTTCCTCACAAAGGGCTCTCCAACCGGCCTGGCTTCCCTAGAGACATCTAGTGAGGGGCATTCGATCAGCAGGTGCGCTAGTGTCTCCGGTACCAGGCTGCAATGCCGGCAGGTAGGATCCCTATTGTTATCCAGCCGCCAGATCTATGTGCCAATGGGGCAGTGCACGGTGCGCATTTGCGTCACTAAACTTTGCTGTCCGCTGCCTAACCCCCACCATGGGTCCTGTTTGCTAGGAGTTGGCAGGTTTGAAAAGACGCCTCTGGCGGTCGTGCAGTCTGCCCATTGGTTGTACCACTTCGTCCTGAAATGGTCCGCCAGCCAGTTATTTATCTGGAATAAGGTAATGGTACTTCTCGCTGAGGCTGGGTAGCCCCGGTTTTCGCCAGTGTCCGCTTTCTCATTGTGGGCCAAATAGACCCCCAAGGGGGCCACATATTTCTTTGGGGACTAGGAATTTTAAAGAAATGACTTAGTGTATGTATAAAAGGAGCAGGGTTTTTTTTTTAAAAAGTATTAATTGTGGGGAAGGAGGGGTAAATAACGCGAATTGGATGACTCAATAATTATGGGATAATGGATGATTGAACGATTGGATGATGGATACAGGAAGCCGAGTGTTGGATTAGAGACAGATACATGGCGTTGAGGAACGCTGGTTTATATCATTCATGCTCACCTCTATTCACTAAACCATCCATTGCCTATTAACTATTTTTTTCTTTTTTATTTATATCCCCCCTTCCCCTCAAATCCGTCTGCAATTCCCCCTACCCCCAATATTTACTTATCCGCTAATATCGGCAGCCTCCTCTATGTTTCATTCCTCGCCGCCACTACCCACTAACTCCCCCGTGTCCCCCCAACTTAACTCACATTGGAACATGAGGTCAAGCTATCGATATCTCAAAACATGTACTTTGTGTTATTCCTGTAATATTTTCGTTATTTTTTAATTTTTTAATTTTTTTTTTTTTTTGGGGGGGAGCTGATTAGTATGACCCCGAATACGTCACAGAAACCACACAATTGAATGACATTGCATTGCTACGCTTGCTCAACATCCATCAGATGGTTACACTCGCAAACAAAAGGCGCACCATACTGAAAGGCGAGTGTGGGGTTGGGGGGGGGGCTGCTTTCACCGGGGGATTATCTCCAGCCGGTGCCTGTGCTCGGTCTTACTAAATGCCTGTGTAAAGTCTGCGTATTCTACGGTCTGTTAGACTCATCAATCAGACTGGGTAGCCGTAAGGCAGTTACATAGAACCAATACGAGTTTACTGTGCCCTCGTCTGCCTGATCTGACACGTAGCGTCTGGGTCAGCGGTTCCCTATTCTGTCACCCACGACGGACGTGTTTGCTATTCGGTGCTGTCCCATGTCAGGCTTTCATAATAAACCCCATCGTTGGGTCCAAAATCATCTAGTTTTCACCAACTGTCCCCAAAAAATTTCATTTGGATGAACAGCTTTGTCTCATGTCACATGTTACCCTTCACAGCTCTAGCAAATCCTTGATTTAACGTTTTCAAAAACATTTAAAGCTGTAGTTAGTTATTTTTTAAAAATCTTTTTAAAAGGAGAAAAGAAAGAAATTATTTGTTTTAAAAGTTTGAAACATTTTAATCCAGGGAGCCTGCAGTTTTATTACACATATTGTTTTATCATTATTCCAGTGAAATTCCTTGAAACTGAGACGACAAGGAAATTCCGGTGAAAGTATAAGATGGTCGTACCAGTAACCCCCTCCCCGCCACCCCCGATATCGTGCACATCAAATAAATCTTCCATGTTTCTGTTTAAAAAAAAAAAAATTCCTCTAATTTCAGCAGACGTCAAAATTGAAATGCCCGTTGTGTTCGGGGCGCATCCTGTTCTTCAACGCCGTCATCTTCTTCACGTTCGTCTTTGTCACCGTCATAGAGTACGCCGAGGTGTGCCGCGGCCACCGGCCCGCGTACCTGGAGGTGGCGCTGCCGCCCGTCAAGCTCAACGACACGCTGCTCCGCCTGCGCCTCAAGGACGTGGTGGACACTGTCAAGCTGGCCGGGCTGCCGGCACTGCCCACAGTCCCCCCGGAGAAGAGACGTGAGTACCGAACACCCGTGGCGGTTAGGGTTGAACCTCCGGTCTGCGGCCGGGTTTGCAGCTTTGCGTTAATTTACGGACGGTCCGTGAAAATGTGGACCTAAATTGACTTGTCCGTAAAAATCCGCAAGAATTATAAGACCTACGTTATAAAAGTGATACGCTGGAGAACGGTCATATTGAGGGCAACTAAACGGGGCTTCTCGGGGTTCGTGCCTTGCTCTTGTTGGCTTAAAACTTGTTTGGTCATAATCAGGAAGTGTTCATCTCTGGCGAGAATGCTAGTACTTTCTTTTATTATCGTTTCCTTCTCTCTTTCTCCCTTCTCTATCTCTCTCTCTCTCTCGCTCTCTCTCTCTGACTCTACCCTCTCGCCCTTTTCTCTCTACCCCTTCCCTCTCTCTCTCTAACTCTCTGTGTCTACCATATCCCCCTTCCTCTCTTTCCCTTTCTATCCCCTACCCCTTCTCTCTCACTCTCTGTCTCTATGTATGTTTCTTACTCCCCTACGCACTCACTTACTTAAAATCCGCGATGGTTTTTTTTTTTACAGTTTAAAATGTCTGGATTGACGGTCCCCGTTGACATACGTTATGAATGTATCGTGGGGGGGGGGCGCCGACTTGGGAGTGGGGAGGGACGTTGGGGGCAGGAGGTCCTGTTTTACCGAATTTTTATTTTAACTTTTTTTTCTCCAGATTTATTTAAGTTTGAATTGTCGGATAAAGACATGGAAGTCATGACGGATCTTTTGAATATCTTCAACAAGACAATGGTCGACGCATCAATAGCCTACTTCTTGTACAAGGTAAACGATGCGGACCCCCCCCCCAACCTCCCCACCATTCACACCGGCAACAACTTTTGTATTGTTCTTTTTTGTGTAACAGTAACACACACGTCAAATAGTGTAGACTTTGTGTGACAGTAACACACACGTCAAATAGTGTAGACTTTGTGCGACAGTAACACACACGTCAAATAGTGTAGACTTTGTGCGACAGTAACACACACGTCAAATAGTGTAGACTTTGTGTAACAGTAACACACACGTCAAATAGTGTAGACTTTGTGCGACAGTAACACACACGTCAAATAGTGTAGACTTTGAGCGACAGTAATTTTTTTTGTACATTTTTTTTCTTTTTATGGAGAATCGACATTTCCAGTTTGCTGAAGAGTTTTTTCTTGTTGAAGGGAGCAGACAAAATTTTCGCCCCACCCCAGGTGACACTAAACCTAACTACGCCACTGCCCATCGTCCCACCCCAGGTGACACTAAACCTAGCTACGCCACTGCCCATTGTCCCACTCCAGGCGACACCCTACCTAGCTATGCTACTGCCCATTGTACCACGGCAGGCTACAGTCTACCTAGCTATGCTACTGCCCATTGTCCCACTCCAGGCGACACCCTACCTAGCTACGCCACTGCCCATTGTCCCACTCCAGGCGACACCCTACCTAGCTTCGCCACTGCCCATTGTCCCACTCCAGGCGACACCCTATCTAGCTATGCCACTGCCCATTGTCCCACTCCAGGCGACACCCTACCTACCTACGCCACTGCCCATTGTCCCGCTCCAGGCTACACCCTACTTAGCTATGCTGCTGCCCATTGTCCCACTCCAGGCTACACCCTACCTAGCTTCGCCACTGCCCGTTGTCCCAACTAGAGCCGTTACTGTCATAATCACAGCCGTAACTAATTATGCTCACATTGTACATATTTAATACGCTCCCCTTGACAGAGATAGTCATATCGGCAAGCGCACATTATTGTAGACGTGTAGTTTCACTCCAGAGCCGGTAATTATTCTTTAAACGTAACGTATAGTAAGGAATGTTATCAACTAATTAATTGCTATTAAATTTAGGAACACATACTCTAAATTAAAAAAAAAAAAACTTTTACGGTTCAAAAATAACTTTAAAAAAAACACTTTTAAGCAAAACTTATTGAAACTTAAAACCTAAAAACATGTTTTTAAGATCTGTATGTATTGGGGAGATTTTTTTTCTGTACATGAAATATACTATATGACTACATGACATATGACTTTGAGGCATGTGCCTATTTTATACCGCTACTTTATTGTTATCGATGTTGATTTCTGCCTTAATGTTATCCAAAAGATTTTTCCACGATGTTTGAATTATTATTTTTTTTTTAAGCGCCAATCCTAAAATCTTTACTGTCAAATCTTTCCGGGCTGTCAGTCAATTAAAGGGCGCATGGCAAACTCTGCATGTCATAGCCCAAGTTTCGTGCGGTACAGGAACCGGATTACAAGTTTAATGGACCTAAAATGGGGTTCACCTAAAATTAAGACAGGAGGAATTACCTGGACATTAGAGTCCGACAGAATAGGCATGCGACCCTTTCCTTCGAATTCACAGGAACATCATATGCGTGCATCTCTTCCCTGTTAAGTTCACAGATACATCATATATATTCAACTCTATCCTTCAGCTACAAGAGTTTGTTCTCTCAAAACTTGGTCTTGTTCAAAATGAATGATGTGCACATGGTGCTTATCAGAGTCGGGAGAACATAACTATGATAATAACACATGACGATGATAAAGCATAACTGGTGTAGTCTTAGAATATGGAGCATCATCTTATTCCATCAGGGCACACTGCTAAGACAGCATAATTCCATACATATTTTATTCCATCATTACTCTCTGCTAGGACAACATAATTCCATATATATTTTATTCCATCATTGCTCTATGCAAGGACAACATAATTTCATATTTATATATTATTCCATCAGGGCTCTCTGCTCGGCTCGTACAGACATCACAGCATCATTCCATGGGACGACGACCTCGACTTTCTCGTGTCCTTTGAGAACAAGAAAAAGATGAGCGGCGCGTTTAAAAAACTGTTACCGGATTACATCCTGGAAAACAGTACTTCTAGGTATGTTCAGAAATTTCAGTGCTTTTAGATTTTCAGAACTTTTAGAGTGCTAAGAACTTTTAGTCCTTCAGATTTTTCAGTGCTTTTAGAATTTTCAGTGCGTTCAGAACTTTTTAACTTACTGTACTTTGAGAACGGTCCGTACTTTCAGGTAGATTTTGCGTTGTTCTGTTGAACGTTTGCTTGCATTGTGTTGTATGTTAGTTCCCACCTCATCTCCAGCCCCTTATTTAAAACAGCAGTGATGACTGGCAATTGAAGCCTGCTGGCTTAGTGATTCAGCGCTGGAGTTGAGGGCCACCGCGCCTGGTACAAGAATTCAAAATTTGCTTTCATACCATTTCTTACAGACATATTCGTTTAACAAAAATTTAAATGAATCTGAAATAAATTGAAATGGTGCTCACCATTATTTACATACTTCACGGGAGAACTTTTTTTTCCGCCCCCAACTTTGCTGTTGGTTTATCATTGGACTTTCGACAGTAAAGCGTATTTATGGAAAGCACTAACTTCGCTGCCTTCATAACATTCTTTTAAAAATGAATAATGTAGCGCGCTGAGATTTTTAATGATTCAAAACGTATGCGTCATTGTCTTCTTTTGTTGCTTGCCGATCATTGAATTCCCTTTTTTCATTTGCCGTTGGCCTCACCAGGTACAAGTTCTTCGCCCGAGACGGTCACGCCATCAGAAAGCTCAAGTGGAAATCCCCGTTCCTGGACGTCAGCTTCTACAATGAGAACACCACGCACCTGTGGGACGTCACGATACCCAAGCAGAGCCCGTTTTCAAGGAGCGACATCTTCCCGCTGACCTACCGGCCGCTGCTGGGCGGGCTGTTCCCTTCCCCGCGGGACCCCCTGAGAACACTGCAGGTGACCTACAAGCTGGACGACTGCTACACCGGCGCCTACAACCACACGGGCGAGGTGAGGCGCCGGAACAGCAGCGTGGGGACGGTGCCGTGCTCGGCGCTCATCGACTCCGTGGCGTTTGTCCACCACGTGCGGGGGCCCGGGGGCGCCTGGTGCGAGGAGGTGTTGACGTTCAGGGGCGAGATCCTCAACACTTACGTCAGGGACGCCACCGACATTCCCGTCTGCTGAGAAAACTGTTTCCGGCCTCCTCCCACTTGCTACTTCATGTCTGCCGAGAGCCATGTTGTTGAATGTTCTCTGTTGGAAGCTGTTTGGGGGTGGTCAGACATATTTTTTTCTAATCCACCAAACTTCCATTTGTGATTTTGTTTGTAATAAACTTTTCTGAAATTTTCGTTTCGTAATAGATGGTAATTGCATTGTGACGTCCATACATATTCAAAAAAAAGATGTTGCTTTCTTGGGTTATCTTTATTAAAATGTCGGCCTACCTGTCTATAAATCTAAATTACATTTATGGTTTGGTTGACAAAATCGTGTCGTTTTATTGGTGTAAATTTTAAAATGTAATTGTACTGTTCAAAGGAACAGGAAGTAAGTATGTGAGCTCGGATTAAGTTCTATAACAAGACTCCGCATCTTGTCAGAAGTAGTTTATATAAATTTAGGGTTTTAACAGAGTTGCAACTCTGGAGTCTGAACTGTGAGAAGTAATATCATCTCCCTTTCTCTTTGAAGACAAAATTGTAAAGTGGAAGACCCAATAATCTATCGTAAATTTGTTTCTTCTTTTTTTTAAATTGTGTGTGGAAGTGTTCCAGAAAACCTGCGCCGATTAATAAGAGAAACACATATCTTAGATGTTATATAGTCACTGGTCAACCACAGGATGTGCCGTGTCCCATGTGATAATTTAATGCCTGCTTTGAAGTGGGATCTCCAATGATTGGAAACGAGACTTAGTGAAGACATTTAAATTAGGAGCGGAACGGTTGTGTCTTGCCCAGCTGTTGTCGAGTTCATGTCTATTTTCAACACGGCTTGAAAACTGCGAGACTGGAACATAAACTTCACTATATGGCCAGCTCGGTGGCCTGCTAATGTCAGGTATGGAGCACCTTTAATTCAAAATACGTTGGGAAAAGAGATTAAATGTATGTATTGGATGATGTCAAAGTTCTTGGAGCAATTGTCTAAGAGTGTTTATATTGATTTGTAAGAGCGGTTGTCACTTACACGTACTCATTAAATTTAAAATAAAAATGATGTTTTTAAGGGACACATGTGATCTCATAAAACAGAATGTCAAATACTCACGAATTTGGGCATTATTTAAAAATATATTGACGAGACTAGAGACAATCATAACGCCATTGACGTACCTATTGGTACAACTTTTAAAACCATGTTTGCCACCTTTCTTCTCTTCCGTTTTAAATGCCATTCACATGTTACTGTAGCAGCATTTATCCCTCGGTTGTGTAGCCAACAGCAACAACAACAACAAAACTTAGTATCAATTTGTGTTCTGTTCACCCCAGCCTCACCCACACCGCTTGCACAGAAGTGTCGGCGACACCACTGGTCACATTTTGGCAATCTTGTTTAGTGTCAGCGACACCACTGGTCACATTTTGGCAATCTTGTTTAGTGTCAGCGACACCACTGGTCACATTTTGGCAATCTTGTTAAGTGTCAGCGACACCACTGGTCACATTTTGGCAATCTTGTCAAGTGTCAGCGACACCACTGGTCACATTTTGGCAACCTTGTCAAGTGTCAGCGACACCACTGGTCACATTTTGGCAATCTTGTTTACACACGACATAACTTGGTTTCAGGGGCCAAAAGAATGTACGCTTGTACTCGGGGTGGGGAAGTGGAAATGTATTACGTGTCCCATGGCACAGCAGATGGATACATTAATTTCGTTATAAAACATTACGCCATGGAAACCTTTCTATCACCAGTGATTTCACCGTTAAGTACCTCTGGCGTCTTTGTCTTCTGTCGTTACAATGACGACAGGAAGTACGTCTGGCGTCATTGTCTTCTGTCGTTGCAATGACGACAGGAAGTACGTCTGGCGTCATTGTCTGCTGTCGTTGCGATGACGACAGGAAGTACGTCTGGCGTCATTGTCTTCTGTCATTACAATGACGACAGGAAGTACGTCTGGCGCCTTTATCTTCTGTCGTTGCAATGATGACAGGAAGTACGTCTGGCGTCATTGTCTTCTGTCGTTACAATGACGACAGGAAGTACGTCTGGCGTAATTGTCTTCTGTCGTTGCAATGACGACAGGAAGTACGTCTGGCGTCATTGTCTTCTGTCGTTACAATGACGACAGGAAGTACGTCTGGCGTCATTACCTTCTGTCCTTACTGTGAACTGTGACGACATGAAGTACCTCTGGTGCCATTTAATTTTATCGTTACTGTGAACACAGGAAGTACCTCTGGCGCCATTGAATTACTTAATCACTCTGTCCACAGTAAACGCAAAGTTGAATAAATGAATACTATGCGTGTCAAAACAATACTAATTTTTGCCCTTATGCTTGGCATCTCACTTCGTTATTTTCGATTCATTTTGTTCATTGATATATTATAATGTTGTGCTATCCTATAAATTAAATGGTGTGCCCTTTTTAGTATATCCACCGGACATAACCAAAGTCGTCATATGGATATGTACTCATATCTGAATAGTTTTTGTTGTTTTATTCAGCCACCTTATGATCAACCATATCATATGTGCATTTATTTAAACGGTGTGTTCTATATTTCAAATCTTGCCTCATTAGGGTTGAATAAAAGATGTGTCTTTTCTTTAATAGAGGGACATATTTAGTGAATCTATTTTAAATGCACATTAATATTCATTCATGTTCTAGCCCTTGTATCTGTTTTAAAGATGGGCGTTGCACATTGGCCGTGCTTTTGTATATAATTAAGATGATTTATTATCAACTGTGCCAATAAGAATTAATATGCTATTCAGTTCATGGCCTATGCCAATGCACTACTCAGGTGTTACTTTAATTTATTCGTTTTGTAATCTTGTTTGTCCCAGTGATGTGGTCGGAGAGTTCATCGCATTGTCTAGGAGAGTATTCAGGTGGAACCATATCATTATGGGTGATATCCTTGTTTTTATTTGTGGGATGTGCTGGCTGGAGCACAGGAAATAAAAAAGCTTAAGGGCTGATTTTTGTTAACAAGTTGAATATTTTAGCGGACAGAACATGAAAAGGATCATTCTGATAATATGTGTATGCACTCTTGGAGTTGGGAGGGGGACACATTTTAGCTCAGAGGTTCTCAACTTTTTATCTACTAAAGTGTGTGTGTATTTGTAAGAAAACACGGACAATGTGAAAATAAACTTGCTTATTATTTTAATTCATTAAAGAAAATACAGTAATCAATCATTATTTCAAGCTTCGGTAATGATTTCAACCTGTCAACTAAAGAATTTTTTTCTGTGAATATAGGCAATAGATTCTGAATTGATTTATTATCTCTGTGTCAGCCATCAAATAAATAAGATTGGTTTCGGTTCTATACACCCCCGTGCGACCAGGACTGCTTGCACTTATTTCAGTGTGATTTCTTTGTTTTAAACACACTTTTTAAAAAACCTAAATGTGAGCTAAGGGTGAATAGCAATAAGTTGAGAACTGTTCTTTGAACCCTGTACCAGTTAAAAAATACTATTTAAATTTCAAAAATATTTCTAACTGAAAAAAAAAAAAAAATTAAAATCATGAAAAGATAACCTATCCTTTTAATTTCTGAATTATTTTTTTTTTTAAATTTAAAAACCTGGTCACTTGTCTCTTATTTAGGTTGCGTCAAGGCTTTTCTGTCAAGTGCATATTCTGTCCAGGATTTATTTCTATTCTGTGCCATGTCTATGCGTACCATGCCTATGCCGAATCATGTCTATGCGTATCATGTCTATGCTGTTTTATGTCTATGCTGTGCTATGTCTATGCTTTGCCATGTCAAAGTTGTATCAAGGCTATAATGTGTCATGTCCATCAGGGAAATGAATCGCTTTTCTGTTACAAAATAAATAAATAAAGACAATAAGCCAGGGTTGATGGCATTCCACGTAAATATGAATGATTGATAACCCGAGTAGTCTCTAAGCTATTGCATTATTAACTGCTGTTTAGAGAGTTACTACTAAGTAGGCCTACTTCAGACCAGGGCTTGTTATACTTGGCATTCATTCATAGCACTGGCAATTTTCAAGCAGTACATCATTAAGGTGCACAAGAGTAATAAGATATTTGTATATAGTGTTAGCCAAATTCAAATATTGATGACCCTCCACAACTCCAATACCTACTACAACAGAAATGCAGAATTTTTTTATATTTTATACAATTAATAAAACAGTATTATTGTTGTTTTTTTTCAAAATCTTTTAATAATCAAGGTCTATCAATACACACTAGTCTATTACAGTAGTACTAACAGTGCTGTGTCATTTTAAGAAAGTGAAGCAAGAAGTAAAAATCAATGATATAAATGTGAAATATCAAATAACAAGTGCACCTTTAATTAAGAATATTTGTTTAAAATAAAAATATAGAAATTCATTAAATGCTTGTAATGGATTGTTGGTAAAATAAAAATTATTTTCCAATGATTATATCAAATATGAGCAGAAGATTCATTTTTAGACTGAGCCAAATATTTATAAACCTTTATGAAAAACAAACGACAGTTAAATTATCTATAGATAGTTAACATCTACAAAGATAGAAATAAATGCTTTAAAAAAAATCAAAGGGCAATCTTGCCTGTATTGTAATTTAAGAAATGATTCATGAGAGCACTGTTGTTGTTTTTTCACACCTTCTTTGAATAAAATCTTTTAATACAATTTTTAACAGAAAATGTTTGAAAAATTAATACCATACAAAAAGCTGATGTACAGTACTGGCATCAACAATAACCAAGGACAATGTCATGTTAATTCACATTATTTTTTTTCTTCTTTACTAAATTTTCCAGAGATCGTTACATAGGCATAAATTT